TAAAGTTTTATTTTTGGAATAGAAATTTCTTCCTAACAAATGAAGAGATACTACCTGTGAAGTTGTTAATAATTTCCGAAATGTTATTAAATTATATATGATTGTTGTCCCCCCACCCCACTGGATAGCAATTGCTATGAATTTTCAGTCTATGTATTTAAGATATTTGTATGTTTTGGGTTTTTATTTTAGATTGTATGTACCCTGAGGGAATTAAATAAATACAGGCAATATCTTACCACCATAAAATTGGACTTTGAAAGAAACTATTTAAGAGAACAGGTATGTTAAATATTTAAAATTGGCTTGTTTAAACAGAAGTTGAGGACTGGTTGTTCTTGCAGAAGACCCAGGTTCTAATCCCAGCACCCATATGGCAGCTAACAACTGTCCATAATGCCAGTTCCAAGGGATCTGTCAGCCTCTTCAGTCCTCTGCAAGCTTTGCATTACATGGGTGCATTTACCTACATGCAGGCAATACACCCATACACATAAAATAAAAATAATAAATAAATTATTTTTTAAGAAAAAAAGTTGAAATGTTTATTTACATGTGGAAATTTTCTTATAATATTTTGAAGTTTAACTGTTGATTAAATAATTCTAAATGAAACTTTTACGAATGAACAGTAATTAGACTTAGCAGCAACATTTGCCCCCAAAGGGAAAATGAACTAGATCATATATCAGTATACCAATGCTAGCTAGTAATTTAGTAACCTGCTAGATAATTATGTTACTTCCAACTAGCTGGCACTAATACAAGCTGTCTATTGTAATAGCAAGATTCTGAAGCTAAAGCCAAAACAGTTTTAGAAACAGAAAATTACTTTTGTAGTATCTGTAATACCCTATGTAATACTAAAAGACCAAGTAAATTATGTGTTTGTGCCCATACACATGCACCTGTATTCATTTACAAAAATATAGTCCATAAAAGAGAAATAGATGCCTTCGTAATAGACAGAGATTTCCTTTTGGTTTTTGGCTCAAAGTTGTATATAGCATGCACCTCTCTGTCTCCGTCTGTCTCTTTTGTCTTTCTCTCTTTCCTTTCCTCTCTCTGTCTCTCTTTTTCTCCCCTCCCCCCACGTGTGTACATTTCCCCTGCTCCCCATCTTTATGCCTATAGTTTTTCTTCAATATTTTTATTTAATTCTTATAGCTTCAGTGGACAAATGAAATATTTGCATTTATTTTCAGAATGGCATCTTTATTTCAGTTCAGTTGTCCACATCTACAATGAATTCAAAATAGACTTAAATACAGTTAAATAATTTATCACTAATAAAATATAAGAATTGGAATGACTATTTCTGAGAAATATAAAAGCACATATTTCTGATATAATTTTTTTAAATAGCAAATGATCATAAAACAGCTACATAAACTGCAAGAAAACAGTCGACTTCTGCATTGTTCCCATGTTACCCAGTTCCAGAATTGTTTGTTACATGACAACACCCAGTTTGTTAAAGACCAGGAACTTTTATTAAGGCACAGGTAAGATTCAAGTTAGAGCAGGACTTCTTGGGTTTTTTTTTTTGTTGTTGTTTGATTGTTATTTTGTTTTGTTTTTTGTTTTTTGACTTCTTGTTTTTTAAGTAGATGCCGTTTAAATTTCTCTATGTTCCTCAGTGGGAAGAGAAAGGAAAAAAATTACTGTGGTACAGGGATTAGAAATCTTGGGCTAAAGCTAAGAATGGAAACTTCTTCCGGGGGGGTTGGGTTTCCTGGTAACCAAGAGAAAAGCCAAGTTGATAACTGAAGAAAACATCAGATCCAAAATCCTTTCTATAGAATGAGGAGAGAAATTATTTTAGCACATGCCAGAAAGAACAACTTTTTTATGATCCCCCTTTAAAGACTCACATCAGTAAGTATAAGAAACTAGTACAGGTCAAAAATTGGAGTTTTAATATATCTGATGCAAATATAAATGTTTTCATTGCCTCTAAACTGCAATTTATTCAGATATTACCTAGTCATATTTACTGTCTAGCATTCCATTATTAAATTCATGTTTTAGGAAGTGAAAAGATACTACATTCTTTTTTCTTCACTAGGGGTAAGAGATTTAAGTGTGTTATTTGACTTATTTATTCTTGGTTTTGTTTCATGGTAGTGCCGTAAGACAAACTACTTACTGGATCATAAATGAGAGTTTTGTTTTAAGACCTGTAAATTATAAAGATGCCAGTTTGTGCTTGTTCTGAGAAAATTCAAATCTACTGTTCTTCATTAAATGCATTGGAGGCATGGCTTCTTTTCTCAACATTCTTTGCAAACCCGTAGTCCCAAACCCACCGAGATATCAATGCCCACTGTGCAAAACACTGAACTAGCTTGTTCATAGCCTAGCAATTTTTGAGCATGATAAAAAATACATATTTAAAAGAGTTTAACATGAACCAAACATTCTAAGTAAATCTGAAGGACTATGGCTGGAACAGACAACAACTAACTAAAATTTCTGTGTTTCAAAAGCCGAATAGAATGGGGTATGATTTGGAATATGATAAAGGTTCCTAGTTCACCTGCAGTAACCTTTAATTTTAACTTAGGTATTTGGATATGATAAGGAAGGAATTAGAACAACTTGATCACAAAGCAGAAGAGCAATGCCTACTCCAAATAGACAGGGAAGAGAAACGACAGTGGGAACACACACGGAAAAATCTTGGTCTCTGCAGAAAAATTGAAGAGGTAAGAGATAAATGTAAACACTCAGGAAAAAAGTGGGTACGCTTTTACCATTTTTAAATAATTTTAGCTATATTACATTGCTTGACATCATTTCAGTTCTAACCTTGTCTACACAGTTATAATGCACAAGTTACTGTATAAAATATGGAGGCAAATACCACAAAGTACCGAACAGATCAAGTGTTGTTTTTAGAAGTCACTGTAAGTTATTGAACATTGTTTAACTCCCAATTAGATGTGAATGTAAAGAGGAAGCATTTAAAACATTAATCTTGGGCCTGGAGAGATGGCACAGTGATTAAGAACACTGCCAGAGGCCCTTGGTTTGGTCCCCAGCACCCACAAGGTAGCTCACAGTTGTCCATAACTCCAGTTCTGGGGCATCTGATACCCTCTTCTGGCTTCTGCAAGCATTGCATGAATGTGGTGCATCTACCTACAAGAAGGGTAAACACTTTTACACATAAGTTTTTTAAAAATTGATCTTTAGTAAATTACTCATACCTAATTTTTAAAAATTCATTAATTTAAAAAAAATGTGGTTGTGCACTTGCCATGCCATAACATGGGTGTGAAAGTCAGAGGACTTGTGGGAATCGTTCTGGTAATCAAATGCAAGTCATTTGGCTTGGTAAGCAACTTTATCCTCTCAGCCATCTCTCTGGCCCTATACCTACTTTCTTTATACAAGTGCAGTAAGAAAAACTTATTTTAGGGGCTGGAGAGATGGCTCAGTGGTTACGAGCACTGACTGCTCTTACAGAAGACCAGGATTCAATTCCCAGAACCCACATGCAACTAACAGCCCATAAACTCCAATTCCAGGGGATCCGACACCCTCTTATGACCTCTGTGGGCATTTTACAACACAGGTGCACCTGCATACATGCAGAAAATATGTTCATACACATAAAATTAAAATTATAAATAAACTATTTTTTAAAAAAAGAAAATGCTGAAAAAAAAGAACAACCCATTCTAATGACTTCTATATGTTTGGCCAGATGTCTATTAGGCCCTTGACATGTCTAATTTTTCTTGGTGGTGGGGAAAAAATATGTGTCATGGTAATATTGTGGTCTCTAGGAATGGAAGATGAAGGAGATGTTGCTGCTGACAAAGATCGGAGAAGATGTCAAAAGAGAACAGAGGGTAGAGGAGCAAAGGCGTAAAACCAGAGAAGAGAGAGATCGAAGGGTAAGAGGAGCTTCAACGTCTGTCTTGTGTTGTCTGAACAGAAGCTTGCTAGCTAGGTTTTTCATAGTAAATATCATTTTGTGGCCAATTATTCAAAATAATATTCATTATACAAAACTAAAAGTTAGATTTGGTTTTTTCAGACTGAGTTTTGATATACTGCCCAGGCTGTTCCTAAACTCCCAGGCCCAAGTGAACCCCCTGCCTAGTCTCCCGAGAAACTGAGAACATCATCCTGTACCACTGCCACTACATGACCATTGTGCCTGGTAGGAGCATCTTAACATTTTGTGTCTGTTACATTTTTACAGTGTGAAGAGAATTGGCTTAGTATTTGATGTAACTACTTCTGGATTCATCTTTTCACTATAAGCTGTAGTTTTAGATCTTATAAAAATAAAATAATCAAAAGATTTTTTTTGAGAGCCAAACATTTGGGTAAAATTCTTAATTTTTTCCAACAATTTTTAAGGGTTACTCTTTAAATTAAGCGGTACACAGGATTGTGATTTAGAGTATAAAATAGAATAAGGTGAACAAATGGACAGTTATATTCCTTTTACCTGCTTACTGACACAGTCACATATACGCACAATGTACAGTGTTCCTGTGAATGTTTATTGCAATCAGTAAATACATGTTTTTATACCTTATAGATTATTTTGTAGAATGTATCTTCTTTTAATAAAACAACTGCAATGGCTTTCCATATCAAGGACTATGGATCTGAAGTTCTACCTGTTAGGCAGTTTCTTCTTGACAACTTAAGAGTAAGATTAGTAGTTAGATTTGTATTGTAGTATGCAACTTATATGGAAACTTTGTAAAAATGTAGGAAACTGAAGTAGATATTTTATCTTTTGTTGTGTTTTTTATATGTTACAGTTAGTGTTGTGTGAGATGCACTATTCATGTGAATAGCAAGCTTGGCTTATTTGAGCTTAGTATAATCAATAATTGTCTAATGTTTAATGTTTCAATAGTTGTATTAAAACTGGAAAATCTGTCTTAAACTTTGGCCTATTTTTGTTTCTCTCAGAAATCTCTGAGAGTATCATTATTTTCTGAAAACAGTAAAATATTTTCGATGTACTAAACATTAACATTTCTGCTGGAGTATCCTAAAAGTGTATTTTTTGTTTTTTTTAAATTTTATTTATTTATTTTATTTTATGTGTATGCATGTATTGCCTGCATGTAGGTAAGTGCACCCATGTCGTGCAAGGCCCACGGAGGTCAGAAGAGGCTGTTGGATCCCCTGGGACTGGAGTTACAAACTGACAGCTGTTAGCTGCCATGTGGGCGCTGGGATTCAAACCCGGGTCTTCTGCAAGAACAACCAGTGTTCTTAACTGCTGAGACATCTCTCCAGCCCCCTACCTTCTATTCTTATCACACCATCCTCTGAAGAGGTTACCCAGCTTGTGGATAGGTATATATATACATATATAAATTTAAATCATATACTTATCTTGCTCTTCACATCTCTGTCCAAAATAATCTGTGTGGGCCCATTTTTTTTACTATTTTCTGCTCTTTGACTATTACTACATTAGACTATTTCAGTTATTTTACTTTTAATAATCTGTTGAATCAGCCATGTTAGTCATATAAGTTTACTATATTTTTGTTGTTTGTAATAATGTAATATCTTTGCATTGCCACAAACTTTAGAATCAGTTTTATTAATTTCTACAAAAAAAGAAATCTTGCCTAGATTTTCAAAAGTCATTACCTCATGAGATGAATTGGGCACATTTGACCCTTGTGTAATATTTGCTTTTCTGATTCATGAACCAGATCTGTGTCTACATTAATTTAATCTCCATAACTTCCCGTATCATTTGGGGAATTATTATCTTCAATAAATGATTGTAGGTGTCTAATGAGCACAATTCCCTGGTCATACTTGATTCCACTACAGTAGTCCCTGCTAATACAGACCAGAACTCCTTGAATAGAGATTGCTATGAAGAAAAAAATATTTAGAAACTCGGGGCATTTCATTGTTCTCAGAATACACTTAGAGATTTCTTGCAGCAAAAGTAGGCAAACTTTAGGAGATACTCCATTTAAAAAATGTTGGAACACTGAACATTAGAAAATACTATTTGCAAAGTTTAGGGAGATGGCTGTCACTGAAAGGCCTGTGCAGGCAAGCATCTAAATTCAAATCTTCAGTGCCCACCTAAAAGCAGGGCATGACTTCACATATCTGTGCCTCAACATTGAGGGGAGGTGGGATGGAGACAGCTGAAACCCTGAAGCTCAGTGGTCAGCCAGCCTATCTGAACTGATGAGCTCCTAGTTCAGTGAGAGACCGAGTCTTTAAAAGATAGGTGAAGAGTGATTGAGGAAGACACGAATTCTGAACATCAAATTCTGGCCTCCACACACCTTGGTACATACATACAAGCACTCCCAAACACAGATATGTACACACACATGCACACCTACATATAGTGCACGCGCGCGCGCACACACACACACACACACACACATAAATACAAAAAATTTAATTACAATAATTTTGAATAAGCCAAGCTTGCTTGTTAACATCAGTACTGATCCTCAGACTATACTAAAAGGTACATGTAAAACTGAATGAGCCGGGCGTGGTGGTGCACACCTTTAATCCCAGCAATCGGGAGGCAGAGACAGGCGGGTCTCTGTGAGTTCAAGGCCAGCCTGGTCTACATAGTGAGTTCCAGGACAGCTGGGACTACAGAGAGACCCTGTCTCAAAAAGACCAAAAAAAAAAAAAAAAAACCAGAATGAAAGATAAAATACATATTTAAATTTTCATATCTTCTCAAAATTGTGGTATAATATAAATTAAATTATGTAAATTGTACACCTAGGTTTATCAAGAACAAGATACCTAAAATTGTACCTTTTTTAGCTTCACATTTATTTACATGGAAAATTGCTAAAGACACTTTGTCAAATGAAGAGACAGTCTACAAATCAATCTATAAGGGTATATCATGATATATTTCATAATTTCTGTGGTATTGAATTTGTATCAATTTAATTTTTATTATTTGATCATAGTAAATAGAAAAATAACTGAGTTTTACATTTATCTTGTATATTGCATTGGTAAAATGAATATATCTAAACTAAATTTTTCTAAATGTCAATTGCTATTAAACATATTATCACACCATATTTCAACATAAATATGTATTATCTATTTGCCTTGCAACATTGCAGATCTTCTCTGTAATGTTGACTATAAACAGACATAGTGGCTGTCTTGGTCTCACATTACTGATCTCCAAAGTAGAGCACTACTTTTATTATAGCTGTGTGTCTCTCATAAATACTTTTCATTAAGAAAATACTCTTCTATTATTAAACTGTAAGTGGTTTTATCAGGAAACAATGTTGTAGGTTGTCAAATATTTTCTTTGATGGTTTTGTAGACTTGTCAAATTGTCATACGGCCTTCCTCTTATGGTTCTTTGGACAGTGTATAACATAAACTGATGCTTAAATATTCAATCTGGGTTGATGAATGGTTATTAAATCAGTTCATTTGGTCAGATTGTATTGTCATGTATATATACACATATATATGCATATAAATATATACACAATTTGTACCTGTGAATAGATATATACAAATTGCCAAAAGTGTGTTTAGAATTTTGCAACAGAGATGCTAGCATATAACTTTATTGTCTTTTTCTCTTTTCTTTTTTTTTAGTTGATTTTCTTTTTGTGTGTAGTTCATACAGACTGTCTCAAACATCTTAATCATCTTCATATTCCCATCTCCATTGGCACACTCCAGTGTGGAAATGTACCACATTCTCATTTTCCACTCATCAGTTGGGAGACACTTAGGTTGCTTCCATCTCTTAGCTATTGTGAAAAGAGCATCAACAAAAATGGATGTACAAGTCTCTCTGCAATAGGATGAGTTCTTTGGGTGTGTGCCAAGGAGTCAAATGTAGGTTCATTTTTAGTTTTTTAAGGGTTTTCCACACTGCTTTCCATAGGGGTTGCACAAGTTTGCAATCCCACCAGCAGTGGATGAGCATTTCCCTTTCCCCAGATCTTCTCCAATATTTTGTATCATTTATTCTCTTGATCTTAGCTAGTCTGACTGGGGCAAAATGAAATCTTAAAGTGGTTTTAATTTGCATTTCCCTAATTACCAATGAGGTTGGACACCTTTTAAGATGCTTTTTAGCCATCTTTGTTTCTTCTTTTGAGAACTCTCTGTTCATTTCTTTAGCCCATCTTTTAAATGGGTTACTTGCTTTCTCGATTCTTTGATTTTTGAGTTCTTTATATATTCTGGATGTTAAACCTGTTAGATGTGTTGCTGGTGAAGATTTTCTCCTACTCTATGGGTTTTCTCTTCACTTCCTTGGTTGCTTCTTTTGATGCACAGAAGCGTTTTAGTTTAATGAGATCCCATTTGGTGATTCCTGACCTTATTTCCTGAGCAATTAATGTACAGTTTAGAAAATCCTTTCCTACATCTCTACCTTGTAGGTTATTGCCAATGTTTTCTTCTAATAGTTTCAGAGTTTCAGGCTTTACATTGAGGTCTTTAGTCTATTTGGAGTTGACTTTTGTCCAAGATGAAAAATAGGGGTTAAGTTTCATTATTCTGTAGGCAGAGATCCATTTTTGCCAGCACCATTTGCTGAATATGATGTCTTTCCTCCAGTGAATGTTCTTGGCCCCTTTGTCAAATATCAGGTGGCTGAAATTGCATGTACTCATATTGGGTCTTCAATTTTGTTCCATTGATCTGCAGGTCTATTTTTGTGCCACTAAAATGTTGTTTCTATGACTATAGCTCTGTAATATAGTTTAAAATCTTATAAAGTAATTGCCCCAGCATTGCTCTTAGTGCTCAGGCTACCTGAGGTCTTTTGTGCTTCCATATGAATCTTAGGATTTTTTTTCCAATTCTGTGAAAAATGTCATGGGGATTTTGATTGGCATTGCATTGAATCTATAAATAGCTTTTGGCAGGA